CGCTGGCACTACATCATGAATATTCTCTTAAACTCGACACTTGAGTCATTCTCTCCTCAAATTCAACAAGCTGTAGAACAATCACAAATTCTTAATTCTTTTTTTTTTCTTTTAAATTCTTAATTCTTCTTAGTGACAGATTCCTCTCCTCTTCTTGGATGTTGTTTTGCTTTACATAGCACTCTTATTCTAATTACTGAAATGCTTCACACTCACCACACCTTTAAAAAGTTGAATCCATAAATGTTTGTGAATTACACCAAACTATATTGAGAACACTAACTAAAAAAGAGATTAGAAAAATCGAGAGAGATAAGAATACCAGGGTATGAAGCTCTGGAATTTCTATAAAATATTTTTTATTACATAAAATTGCGTAAGCTAAGCTGACTCCTTCGCCCCGTATTTATAGATTTTGGTTAAAGCTTATGCGTAATAGAATTCACTACTTTCATGGCTATATAGAAAATAAGAACAAATACAATAATTTTATAGCCTAATTAGAATGTCCGACATGATGAACTCTTTTGCCAATCTTTGAAGAAGTCATCAACTTGGTGTATATTGATGGTTGGATAGCCGAGTAGTTGATTAATAATTTTCCTTGATTAATTATCCCTTTTTGAGTAATCCCCAAGACTAACCTTATGGATAATAGTCGTAGGAGCCAACTAATGAGCTTTACACATCGCCTGGAAAAATTCTCATTGTATGGTCACGTATTCAAGGTGAGTTCTTATGTCCATCAATTATGAGACATCCTCAGAAACGCCTTATATCAAGTTTAGGTTATAAACATGCCTAGTAAGCCACTAATGGGTTAACCTAAACAAGAAAGATTTTTTTTTAGTTCTTTTCTGTCATCAGAAAACAAATTAATTTAGTCTCCAAATTGCTATATTCTAGTTTAAGTGAGCTGTTTTTGGATGCTCAACTTCTAATCAAAGCATTTCAACTATTATTAGCCACATGCATCATATATTTTTTTTGGAGAAACAAAAGCTTAGGGTTTGTTTATTTTCACTTTTATTTTTTATTGTTTCATTTGTTTTATTTTGATTTTATTTATATTCTAACAAAAAATAAAAATATATTTTAAATTCTTATACATTGATTATTTCCTAAAATTTAAAATAATAAGTTATTAATATACAATAATATAAAGTGAATATACTTAAATATATAATATCAGAAGAGAAATAATAAATTTCCCTCAAGCCTTTATACCTCTTATCAGAAACAGATCCTCATGACTCCCTGTGCTAGCATATTAGAAAACATGCCTTTATGATTTCCAATGCTTAACACATATTAGATATTCAAAATTTCGGTCCCTTGTGACCCTATGCATATAACACCATAAAAGAATTTCCAGCACACATCAGATCTACTCAGAGTCACAAATTTCAAGTAGATAATTATATAATTCGTTGCATTACAGTAAAAGAAGTAGAAATAAACCAATTTCAGAATTTCATAGAAGGCTATATCGATAGGCAATAGATTCAACTATTGAGCAAAATCTCACTGTTTCAAAATAGTACTAAATTTTTTTATAAAAATGATTTTAGATATTTTTATAAAAAATCTACCAAGCGCCGCATCAATCGACCCCAACGCCGCAATGAAGTTCATTTTCCAAAATTTGGTTGGAGAGCTCAATTTCGCAACACTACGATCCCAACGCCGTAGCACTCCTAGGATATATGTATGTATGTGTATGTATGTGTATGTATATATATATATATATAGATTTTCAAACACATGCAGACAGACTTTTAGGACCTATTTCAGAACAAATTTAAATACACTTATGCAACGTTAGTTCATTTAAGCAAGGTTATATATTATTTATTTCTTGGCATAACTATGTGATTGGCTTATGTGGTACTGATTTTGATGATGATGCATTAACTTTATATACCAAAAATGACTCTTTTCTAACAACTCGAAGTTGAAATAGTTATCCACCAAATCACAAATAAGGCTCTAGAGTTCTTTAGCAATCAACTATCTTAGGATGTTATTGGTTCTTCCATTTGATAAGAGATTTGTGTTGCCTAGTGCCATTTGTAGGAGCTTCATTTGAGATTGTTTGGTTCACCTAAAAAAAAATAGGTGGGTGAGACACTTGATATTGGTTAAAGTGTAGTAGTGTTAGTCTCTAAAATTTTAGGTTACAAATTTCCCTTATATGTTAAGAAATCTTTTATATTGAAAGCTCTACCAATATGCATGTCTGATGGCAAGTCTAGATGATAAGAATTGGACCCAACTTTTCTTGTGATTTTGAAATCATCATAAACCCTTGTTTGAAGCTTTTTTAATCTATGTGAGGGATATCGTTTCAAACAAATGCAAACTAATACATATTCACCCTAATTAAACTCTCTAGTAGATCTTTTTAGGTTAATCTTTCAACATATTTGACATTGTTGTCCTTTTTTTGTTATCTCACTTCTTGATGAGACCAGTAAAGTTATTTGTAGAAGTAGATGGGATATTAGATAATATGTGGGTTGGCATATGTGCAATGTCAAGAGGTCTTTTAGGATTATTCCCATAGACAATCTGAAATGGAGTCATATGTAAGTGTATCAATAATTGACCTGACGAAAAATTTGAGTTCGGACTGACTCATATAATTAATGGGTCAGATTTGGGTTGGGGTTTTAGACTTGTTTATTACATAGATCGGGTTCGGGTTGACACATGAATCCATTTTTTACTAAAAAATAACCCGTTTAATTTTTTTCCTTTTTTGTGATTATAATCTTCTTATTTTTTATCAAATATCTTAAACTTTATAGTTAATTATCTATACTACAAATTTTAAACATTAGCTGGTCGGGTTTGGGCCATTCGGGTTTCTAGAGGGTCTGGTTGGTGTTTTTGATCGTTTATTAAAGGTGTATGGTTTAGGTTAACTATATTCTGGGAGGGTCAATTTCGGGTCAGGCTTGAACCTGACCAGTGAACCAGATTTGACACTTCTAGTCTTATGAGCTGTTTTAGAGATTATATTATTATATGCAAATTCAAATGTTAGCATATGTAAACCTCAAGTTCCTAAGTGTTTTTCTACTAAACATCTCAAGAGATTGCTTAATATTCTATTAGCAAATTTTTTTCCTATCCATTTTAGAATGACATGTTGATAAAAAATTAAGCTTTGTCGCTATAACCATTCATAAAATTTTTAGAAGTGAAATGAAATGATTATCTTTATAAAATATAATAGTAGACGCTAAACCATTATGCCTAACAATTTTTTTGAAAAGAATTTCTATAATATGCGAGGCCTTGTTGGTTTTATGAAAGGGCAAAAAGTGTGCATTTTAGATAACATATTGACCACTACAAAATGATACTACAAATCCTCTTGGTGTCTTAAGTAGTCCTAAAGAAAAATCTATAGTGCCCTCCTATGGTTTATATGGAATAGGAAATGCTATATTTTTTCTTCTTGTTGTTTTACTATGTTACCTTGCCTCCCAGTAAACAATGTGATAACTCTATTGACATCTTTCTTGAAAGAGGTCCATAAAATCTGTGGAGTCAAAGATATGATTTTGTCTATCATAAATTGACCAATAATTCTATCACTATGTAATTTCCTCGAATTAAATCATTACTTAACTGAATAAGAATTTTAACCACACTGAAAGATTTGGATTCAAACTCATGAAAAATATGGTGAAAATTTAAACAATCACAATCCATCTTTAAATCTTTCAAATATAGGAATATGAGATTGTACTGAAGAGATGATTAAGGAGGCCCTAGATAGGACATCAACTATTTCGTTTAAAGTCCCCAATTTAAGATTTAGCATAAAAGAGTAATCTTGAAAAAAAATTGACTCACTCTTCATGTTGGTGATTTGAGTTTTTATTTTTATTTTTGGGAATTAATATATTTTAGTGCTTGATAAGCATGAATTTAATGTGAATTTCTTATGGAGAAGAGAATGTCTCAGATGTCGAAGTGATTGAATGATAACATAAAACTCTTTTGTCATATATAGAATATTTTTATTGTGCTTTCTTGGATTTCTTAGTAAAAAAATGGCACTAGGTGTTTTTCTTGAGTTAGTACCCTTATGCCTATTCAAGAGGCATAATTTGTGATTTCAAAGACTTCCTTAAAACCAGAAAGTTTTAGTGATGAGAAGACTTGATTAAGATATTGATTTACTCAAAAGCTTTTTCAAGCATTTGGAGCCTAAGCAAATTTATCATTTATGAACATTAGTCAGAGGAGTAAGAGTAGAACTAAAATTCCTAATGAATCTTATATAAAAGGGGCAAAATCATGGAAACTTCTAATCTTTATAGGAATAGGTTAATTGAATGGCTTAGATTTTTTAAGGACGAGGTTTAAGTCTAGAAGAGAAAACAACAACCTCAGAGTAAGTAACCTCATCATTTATGAACAAAAACTTCTTTATATTTATATAAAGCTTTTTTTTTTCTCCTAGCTTTTGAATAATCTTAGGTATTTTAAATGTTCTCGATCTTGAACACAGAATGTTCTATAGGATTTATCTTATAATGTGGTCAAATAGGCAATTGAGATTATGGTAAAAAATCTATTGCATGTTGAGTTTCTTTTTATTGGAGGTAATTCATTAGGCAATTTATAGGGATCAATATCTTTAAAGTTTAAATTTAGCTATCAATGTCTAAAATCTCAGATAAAAGATTTGATACTGCATGGAAAACTCAAATTCTTAAGTAGGAAAAACTTCAAATGAAGGAAACAACGGCTTTCTTATTGCTTCTTAAAGCACTTTCAATTACAACTAAAAAAATGTTTTAAGAAGCCGTCCCAAATGAAACCTTATGCCTTGTGTGGGACAGTTTTCTTATTGCTTTCTAAAGCAAATTTCTGATATAAAAAATTCTTAAAAGCAGCAAAAAAAACTGGCCCAAATAAAATCTGGGCGGGTATAGCAGATTTCATGAGCTTACAATTGATGCAACTTACTTCTTCTGCAGGTACATGAAGACTCAATAATTCATGTGAGTATTTGGCCATTAAAAATAGATTCTTTGTTGCAGATTCAGCCTATATGAGATCACATTTACCATCCCATACTGTCTGAATGCAAATATTGTTCTGTTTTTAATAAACCAATTTTGCTTCATTGCATGTTCTCAGTTATTTTTCATATATTTATCATTCCATCAAACTAATCAAATATTTTTACCTCTCCAGGCTTGGATTCACATCACCTCTACTCTGCTGATGAATAGGCTTAGATTTTGTTCCTTCACTTCTTCTCTGTTGTGCTCAAACCTTGTTCTAATCACACACTCTTTCTAAATATGTCAATGCCATTACCTTTACTGAGTATTTTAGCTTTGGTGATGGAGAAAACTTACAAAGTGTTGTGTAGAGAAGAATCTATGAATGAGAGTATTGATAGATTAGATGATTGAAGTATGCATTTATTGAAATCATATAGTTGAAGTTATTATATTTATGGTAAATTGTAGTGTTTGAGAAATGATAGAAATATGTATTTATTGAAGGCGGTATAGTTAAAAAATATTATGGTTTCGTTTGGGATGATTTTTTTTACTGCTTTAAGAAACAGTAAGAAAATCGTCCCATACGAAGCCTATATTTAGATAGGTTTTGATATTTTTATTCTAATGTGTGTGTTTTTTATAAACTATTCTAGAAGCTTCTTTTATACCAATGTAATCTTCTTCTCAAGTGAGTCTTTGGATTGATCACTAAAGAATGTTTCAAATGCGAAGAACTCAACTATGTGGAGTTGCTTCAAAGCTCATGGAGTATTAACATTAATGATTTAATTATTATTTAGATTATTAGTCTTAATTTCATTTATTGGGCTTAATCCATTAAAATTTAAATATATATTTTGTCATATCAATACAAAAGCATTACAATCTTTCATATAATTGACTATGTTATGTTCACATCATTCATGATGTATATTTTTATCATGAAATTAGTGTGATAGCAAAAAAAGATGATGATGTTTTTCACATTTAATATTAACAAACATTTCATATGCTCTTTCACTTATTCAATATATGAAATTATAAGAGAAGAGGAAGAAGACATGAAATTGCCACTCTATAGGCAGCCTTAAAAATCATTTCAATAATTTGTGGCTCTCCATGAAAATTGATAACATTAATTATATAAGTTTAAGTCGATCTATTGAATAGATAAGAAATGAGCTAACTTAGGCTTCGTTTGGGACGGCTTTCTTGTTGTTTTTTAAAGCAGCTTTTTAGTATTAAAAGCTGCTTTAAAAAGCAAAGAAAAGTTGTATCAAACGAAGTCTTAGACAAATCTATCTACTGTCACCCATACGATAACAAATGCTTGTTTAGACCAAGACCAATCTTCTCACTTTCTCAAGTGTAGGCAAGAGTTGTGATAACCCATTAGGTTTTTCATTCATTGTCTTTTGTATGAAATCTAACATTTAACAATAAACTCAACTCTCTCTTCTTAGCTAAGCTCATCAAAATTGTCCTTTTTTCTCGTTTAGATGTTATGTTTAAAATGTTGCAACTTATGTGAAGTTTCTTTCGACATAAATATGATTTCAAAAAAAAAATAACTCATCAATGCTAATGTCAAATTCTCATAATAGGAAAACTACATCTTATCGTTAGCATTAATGGAAGTTTTCTTTTGATAATTTTTTATAGGAAATAATAAATTAATTTTCGCCAGAAATTTTGTCAAAATATTCATTATATGCTTGGATATAACAAGTAACTCAAGGCTTCCTCTATGCCCCGTAATTTCTTTTGCCATAGTTACTTCATCTCTTGTCTTTCTAAAGGCTTTGAATCTTTGAACCTCTCGTGTTGACTTGAGGCAAATACACTCTATTGATGTACCTTCTCTCTAAACCAGAAGTCCGGATAAGTTGTCGGTCCATAGGGAGTCTATTCGTCACCGAGAATCACATTTTCTCATCAGTCTCATCTTTCTCATTTTAAGGTAAATTCTCTCTCTCTTTTATATATATATATATATATATATATATATATATATATATATATATATGCCAAATCAGCTTGAGTCAATATAAATGATCACATCAACTGTTTTTCATAATATATGAGGTCAGCCACTTCCTCCCTCACATATGCACCAACCATCTCTACAAATATAGAACCACCTTATGCCTTTGTGGAAATTCCAATTTCAAATGTAATACTTATAGAAATTATTTTAAGAAGTATTGTATTGCTATGATTAAGAGGATTGGGGATTTTAAATGAATTAAACATTTGTATTTTCTTTTCATGCATATCCCCAAATCTTATACAAGGAAATCCAACCCTGTTTCGAAAACAAATTCAAATAAATTGCACAATTTCTTAAGTTTACCGAATAACATTTTCAATTTCCTTTGCTATCAATTCGCCACTCTAAACTCTTTGAAAAATCCATACAAAGTGCATAACTCAACTACAAATATTCTTCTATCATTTACAATGTTATCCAGGGTCAGTAGAGGTCCAACCTTTTTCAAACCTTATTTTCTTAATTGTAAAAACAAGCTCTTGACTAAAGGGGATCAATCCTTATTTAGTAGACCCTAGCCACCCAAACACAATAATACAATCCTTCATATTCAACCCTTAGAGTTCCTAAGAGATATTAGTCAATTACTATAACAAATATAAAACTTTGGGTTATTCAAATCCAGACTCCTATTATCCTATATGATTTATGAAACTCTATTCCATTGCAATAACTGGTAATAATATAATCCAACATTATTAGCTTTTCATCACAATATATTGTTGTTATTGCATATGTTATCTTGTACGAACTAAAACTATTGTTGTTATATTAGAGAAGCTAACTAGCCATTTTATAAGCCTTGAATAGAGGGTTTAGCAATGGTAATGTGAAATATACATGCTGTTTATATCAAGATGAATCCTATGAAGAATTTTAAGATTGGAGCCATATTTTGGTTTATGATAAAAGTAGAAACAACAGGGTATGCATCTATAAATTTGAGTTATATTCATGCTTTTATGAATATTAAGATTTATGTGAAAGCACAAAATTATATAATTATAATTAATTATATTAGTCGAGGGTTAGAATCATTATGGGGTAGATTACACTGTTGAGTTAGTAGTTCAAAGATGTTGATAAGTCAACATTATAAAAGTACCACCTTGCTGCAAGTTAGAGATGACATCTAAAAGGAAGAAATGGGTATCCCAACATGGAATGTAAGGATTAAGGTTATGAGTTAACCTGACTCGTGAGCTGGCTTAGACTCGATTCGATAAATGGCTTGTGAGTTGAGCTCAATAAGTCAAGCTTGAGCCAGCCTTGACTCAACTCGTTAACTCGCAAGCCGGTTCTTTTAAAAAGATATTAATGTAAAATGCACTAAAAATATAATAGCATTTTGAATTTTAAGTGAAAATTTGATGATGAAAAATCATGGGGCCATCCTCTTATCGCCTAGGTTTGTCTTCATTTTCTTATGTTAGTCTTCTCTTATCTCTTCCATATATTTTATGTTCCATATGTTAGTCTTCTCAAATCCCTCAATTTAGTCTTCTTTGATTTCTATCTTTAGTTTAAGTCTTCTTCGATTTCTATCTTTAGTTCCTTTTGGAACTTTTTGAGTTGTGAGGTTTCATTCCCTAAAATACTGTGGAGTTATGATCTTTGATATTTGAGCATACTATCATATCTAGGATATCATTTAAGCAACAAATTGACAATTATTTTTCTCAAATGATGATTGTGTAACAACTAATCTCAATTATAGAGGATCCTATCATAAAATACCTTTAAAAAATATTCTTTTGGGTTAAAATAAATGTAAGTTTAATATTGAACAAAGTTTATAAAGAGTCACTGTTATATTAAGTGTTTTAATGCGACTTCACTCAAAAGTCTTATGCCCATGAGAATGTGACATATATTAGATGATAAGATGATTTCTTAATAATAATAATAATAATAATAATAAAATAAAGAATATAGAAAGTCAATGAGTCATAAGAAAACCTCATACAAAATTTTAAATACTATGGATGAGATGTGCCCTCTTTTTCTACTTATGATGATAGAGGCTAAATAATAATAAAATGGAATCAATAAATAATTTATAAATTATTTTAAAGAGAGTTTCATTGAAATTAAAAGAGATGATCATAATTAATATTTTTTTTCATTATATTTATGTTGACAAATTTAATTTTTGATATTAAAGTCATAGCAAAAATTTTATATAAAGAGAACACTTTTTTGCTTTATTTTCAATATATTTTGTATTTAATATTATTTTTTTGAAAAATACTCTGAATATTCTGATATAATATTAAATGTAAAAAAATAATAAAATTAGGTAAAATAAATAAAATTGGTTAGTTTATTAAAAGCTATTATTTTTCACAATTTGATTATTATGGCTTATTGGACATGGTAGCGTAGCAACAAAATCACCGCTTAAGAAAGCGAGATGAGCAGCGGCGGAGGCGAGACGGGCGGCGGTGGTGGAGGTGGCGGGTCTGTGAAGACGCCAGCGGATTTCCTGAAGTCGATACGCGGACGTCCTGTCGTCGTTAAGCTGAACTCAGGGGTCGATTACCGAGGTCCATTCCTGACTCTTTTCTTATGCATCTATATGCTCCGCCTTCTTGGTGCTATATTGCTATCTTTTCTTTCTCTTCCGATTCTTGAGATTGTAAATGCTTATGTTTAAGATGGTTGTTAGATTACCTGACTCCTTTTTTGAGTTCTAGAGGCTTTGTTTTGCCTTCTTCCAATGTTAGGGTTTCTGAGGGTTAGCTCATTTATTCCTAAGCTTTGTTGGATTGGCTACTAGGGAAAATAAGGAATGAAGCCCACCATTTTCGACGGAAGATGATTGCATAGTTAGTTCACGAAAGATGATTAATGACATCTTTAAAATTCACTGCTGTTCTGAGAAACTACATCAGCTTTTCAGAATAAACCGAAATTAAAATTTCGGTTTAGATAGCTAAGCCTGTGCCTTCCATCTTGTGCTCTTCATGTTACCATTTCTGATGACTGTTATCTTCTTCCAGCGCACCACTAGCATCATGGTGGTTCTAGTCTTGTTCATGTATCTATTGTGTGCTTCAAGATACACGATTTTCTCTCAAGAAATTTTATGTGTAGATTTTTTAGGCCTTCTTTTTACCTGTAAAACATGGTTTATCAGTAAATGATTAACAAAATGCTTGATTTTCTTGCGGTTATTGATATATTGCCTTCAGCCGCACCATTTGCATCATGGTAGTCATAGTTCTGTTGGTTGAACCTCTCAGTGTTATTGCATATGCCTTCAATGAGATTTTATATTGGTTAGAATATAGTTTTAAGAAATTTTATGGAGCTTCCATATCAATCAATTAAAGGTGTGTCGAGTTCTGTCTCGTGCTATAGTTGAATTCCCTATGCTATCCTCTCCTCCTACTTGCTGCAGATTGCATGTTTTATCTCTGTTTTCTTAAATATCCTCCACTAGACAGTAAACGAACCGCTTGAATCTTGTCCTGGATTGGATTGTTGAAAACAATAATCTGGACTATTTTTCTTTGCTGGATGGAAAACACTCTAGCTGATTTTGGCTTGCTGTTCCAACTTTTATGGCATACAAAAACATCGAAGAAGTAACTGATGACAAGGCTTTTTTATTATGTGATTTGGCTTTAAATTAACAGAAAGTAACAGTTGTCTCCTGACAACTTCAATGACCTCAACAACGGCTTATCTAACAGTAACAATTATCTGATAGGCATAAAAAGAGCAGTCGTGAAAACTAGCAAGAGCAGCAATGACAGCAGGTAAGGAAGCAACACACCAACTGGCAAGCAACAACAGTAGCACTCTAGAGTTGGGGCTTATGCTTACCTACCTGCAGCTTTTAGCTATAGGAATCCTGATCAATTTTGTTTGGGAGAGGAAAAAGTGAAAGAAGAGGAAGGATTTTTCGGAGAAATTTTCAATTGCTTTCATTGAAAGAATCATTTCCTTTAAATTGCTAGTCACGACAAAGGATGAGTTCTTATATATGCTTAAACAAATTCCATACCAAGAGGAAACCAACCTATAATAATAGCCTACATAAGTTCCAATTAAATTATAATCCAAGTAGGAATTTCCCTAATATGAATTTAAATTCAAATACAAACTTATCCAAACAACTAATTCAATTTTATCCTTATTTTGATGTTATATAAAATTTGATCCATGCTCCAACTTCCAAAGACTCATCTTTCTCAATGATGTCTGATAGAAAATTTGATCCATGCTCCAACTTCCAAAGACTCATCTTTCTCGATGATGTCTGATAGAAAATCTGATCATTTGTATGGATTGCTAGTGACACTCTCTTTGAATTTTGATAGTGTGATCATCATTCAAAATTTCAAAGAATACAAACTCTTTAACTTTTCATCAATGGATTTCCAAATCTTGATGGTAGTTTCGACTAAAGGACTTCTTTGAAGTGGATGGTCGGATTGACCATCTCCTTCATGATCGGATCTCTGAATCACAGTTCCTCAAAAGTTATATTGTGATATTCATTCATATTTAGATGGCCTTTCCGCCTAACTAGGGTATGATGACTTAACTTCAATTGGGTGCATGCAACCTTGTCATGGGTGTACATCATGATGACTAGCTATAGTGACATTTTTAGTAGTAATATTCCAATGTTGATGTTCTTGGGACTTCTCCCTTCAAATATCAATTTTGGTATATTATGATTTTTGTGCAAAGAAGATAATAAGATAATATTCATGGAGTTATAAAACATGTTATAATGGGATAATATTAATTATACTATTTCTAGTTAGGGGAATATCTTTGAATATGTATTTGATGGCTATGAGGTCAAATTTACACCTATTTTGTGGATGAATTTGGACATATGCAGATCACTCAAACATTTTCATGGGAATGGTGGAGATAATTCTAGTTTTGGGTAAGTGCAATAATAATTCTTCCCAAGATTAGAAAAAAGAATATGAGAAGACGTTCTATTTATGAGATATGTTGTGGTTAGTACATCTTCTCCCAAAATTATTTAAGAATATGGGTAGTAAACATGAGTGATTTAGCTATCTTAAGATGATGCCTATTTTTCCCCGTAGCTATCCTATTTTATTGCAATGTGTCGACGCATGAGCTTTGATGAATAATTCTCTGACTTGTTAGATACTCACTAAAGATTAAGCCAAAGTATTTTTTTTATTATGAGTTTGCAATACTTTATTTATGAGACAACTTGTTTGGGCCAATGAACTTATAGCAATCATGATGGAGATAGGGATACATTTTGTTTTGCGATTGATTGAATAATTTTTGGAGTAGGTCTATTTGCTTATTGCGAAATATGTTTGGTCTTGAAGGAGAGGAGTTATGCCTTTAGGTGGCAATGCTTTATTCGGTCTTATAGGAGAGAATTGCACAATAAGGCACTTAATTAGAGGAATAACAAAAAGATTTGTCGATGAATACCAGAGATTGACGATATTAGATGGTTACAGGAGATTAATAAATCATGATGAAAAGCTAGATCAAACATTTATTTAGTCAGTAGGTATAGATATTGAAGGTTGACAACTATAAGAGATTGATAGGCACACTTGGAAAGCATGATTGACAAATTTGCATGACTGGAGATCAATGAATCAAAAGGCTAGAATCTTGTTGCTTCTAGAAGTTGTTGTTCGATGGTGATGAGAGGGAGTTGAGATAAAAAAGTGTGTTGTGATAATGAGTTGGAGGAGTGATTCACAATGTAGTAATCATTGAAGGCAATTTGCGATGATGATAGATGGATGCTATGAAGGTGATGAAAGCAAGTTGCAAGAGATGCAGACGAGTCATAATATGTCTCACATAAAGAGGTTCAACATGAAGATGGATCGCAATATCAATCTAGGCCCAATGTGGAGATGATGCACCTGTTGAGGACAAAAATGAAGCTAGAGACATCAAATGTTAGTGTGCATGCAAGTGTTAGTCAAAGATTCAGAGTTTCACACGAGGAAGTCAGTGCTATCATGCGATGAATCCTATGCTTCCATGGGTGAAGAGGGCTTGATGTGGAGAGGAATAAATACTTGTAACCAAGAGTGTTGTTGAGAAAAGAGAGAGAAAGTGCTTATGACATTTGAATTTAGGGATATTATGATTGTTAGACAAATAAATTGATATAAATCCTTCGAGTTGAATGCAAAAGGAAGCAAGGATCTTAATCCAAGCTCATATCCTATAAAAAAATGAGAGAATTGTATTCTTCCTTTCGGCATTTGAACTGCTTATGAAAAAAACAAACATGGAGGAGAGAAATTTATTCCTTCCATATTCCATCAAATTAGTGCTTGATTACATTCTTTATACTTTTCTTATTACAATAAGTAAGCCATCTATTGCACTTTATAAATAAATCAAGAAATAGCATAATATAAATAAAAGAAACAAATAATGATACTATTTAATCAGTTTGCCTAATATGGCCATCTTATTCAATTTTCTACATCATATGCAAATCATACTTTTCAAATTACTAGATTTATCGTTTTTATTGAGGGCTTCAGCAATTTGATTAAATTAAGCAACTAAATGTTTCAATTTAGCTTTGGAATTTTGATGATGGCTATTCTATTGGGTCCATTAATGACATGCATTTGATTTAGATCTTTAATGAGCACATGTAATTACGGGTTCCTAATGAGGAACATTTGGGGTGGTGATTTTTATCAATAGCAACCTCCCCTAAGATTTAATTTATAAGTATTTTAGACTAGGTGGATTTTTTAAGCCCTAGACAATGATGATTACTTTATTTATCGTGTTTATGATGTTTGACATGATGGTCACATATCCTTACTAAAGCTACCCTCAACTTGGGCCTCCATAATAAGAATTTTTATATCCCCTACCCCAAGAAATTACCCTAAAAATAACGTTGTTTCCTGACCATTATTTTTTATTTTAGGTCAGCCACTTTATCATTGCAACAATGCCCTGAACATTAATGTGAATCTCTAGTTAGGTTGTAGTCAAGGTTAGACTTTTTGTTGCCACGTTACTTGATCCTGATAAGGGCAATATATTATTGCACAATGATACATGTTGATTATCTTGCCTTAATGGCATTTCAATTGATTGTAGGGTACCATTTACACACACATATCCAGCAAACGTATGTAGAAGATTTTGATAAAATCTTCACTTAGCTAGTAGTTCTTACTAGCAAAATCTCCTCCATTTTGAAAGCATGATGTTAACACTTTTCTCAAAATATGATATTAGCACCTCATTCAAACAAGAGGTATTGCCTTGAGGAAGGCCTTTGGTGCTCAAGGCAGTGACTTAGTAGTATAGTTTGAATTAAGCTTAGATAGTATCCCCTTTCGAACCCTTTATGATTACTAATTTATTGATATAAAATACATAAATATGAACACAAGCTGGGAAGAGAGGTGGATCTAATGTTTATAATTCGAGACAATGATGGAGTTCAATTTTGGTGATGGCCGCAAAGAGTGAGCTAAGAGGCGGTGATGGATATCGAGCTTAGATGTGATGATGATAATGTTGGGTTTAGAGG